GACGGGCTTTCTTCGTAGCAATCCCCCATAATCCCCCGCAAAGGCAAGGTCGTTTGTTGTCGGGACAAACGTGTGAACCTGCCGAACCCGCAATACATTCTGTACTTCGTTAATAGATTTTGGACTGAGCCGTGGATTACCACCCGGCATCATCTAATGTGCTTTGTGAAAACAGGCCCAGTTTTTACTACAGTGTTGGGGGCTTTTATGACGGTGCTAGATCGTACCACGGGTTAGTGAACACAATACTATTACTGTATGGCACACCACCAATAATTTACCACAAACCAACAAAAAGATTGGGGATTTATATGTTGTCAATACACCGTTAGTTCTCTACTTTTGTTTGCGCAGCAAAGCGTGATATGAATGGCTGCCACCAAGGGGAATTACATTTGTTTTGTTTTTCCACCAACGAAACAAGGGTTTAAATCATCACGAGGGGTAATAATTAAGATCGCCTAAGGGCAGGAGATGGATCAGGCAGTAATCTTATCTTCAAGTTTCATTCGTGTGACGAACAGATAACGTTTGTTCATTTCTGGGTTATGTCTTGTGGGATGGTGCCCGGCATTCATCGTCTTGCTTTAAGTGAGCGCTTTTGTCAACCGTAATTGAAATGTAAAGCACAGAGGGGTGCTTTTTCGGGGATTGATGGAAAAGAATGAGCATTCCAAGGGCGCACGTGTGCCGTTTACTCCGCACAGGCAGCAAGTTATGTTGCATGGCGAATGGGGAAACTGAATAATGGGGCTATGCATACAGAGATAACCGCCGGGATATGGAATGGCTGACCAGGCTAGAAGCTCGACGAACGAAACGACGCTTGAAACGACAATAATGTCACCCCTGACCCCAATCTTCCACCACTAGCCTGGGAGTGACCATCTCTTTCAGCAAAAGTGAGGTCGCAGACGGGCCAAATGATATGTTTTCATTAGCCTTTAGTAGTGAGGGGGCACGAGAAAAGGCGCCTTTTTACTTTGCTTTCCCTCGGAGAAAACCACTGAATAGACCGGAATAATCGCAAAGGTTCACCTCACCGTCCACTAAGATAGCAGCAAATCTATCAGGAGACATCTAACGACACATTTGTCTCCAGAAATAACGACCGCATTACTGTGGATGGAAGTGACAATGCCCCAAAGGTGACCTACAACTACACCCAGTATGAAAGTACCATTTACATGCCTCTTCATTCCTTTTACCTTGTGGCCACACGAGGGAAAAAATAATTGGCCTCTACAGGTTTTCCCCACGCACCTTTATGTTCTTAAGAAATGCACTATTGGATCAATAATGAAGCCTGGAACGGAACTCGGTGATGTGTAAGAACCATTTACGATTCAAGGCACGGTACGCGCCCAAAATTGAGACAGGCCGTCGTATGAAACATTTAGGGCGGTCAGAGAGTGGACCTCGGGGGTAGACATGAGTGTGTCGCTCTGATGTGAAGCACCTCTGTGGTTCGGATGCAAATTCACACGATCTACCAAGAACTGCTCACTGGAAAGATATCCTTTAGATGATAGAAAGTCCAGATTAGGGCAACAATGTGCCAGCTCAGCGAACGACCTAACCCCAGACACATGCATTAAAGAATATTGGAAAACTGTACGAAAAAGGTATAGCTTCGTTGCAGTCGAATGGACCGTAACACCTTCTCTCCCAACGTCACCACATACAAATCCCTACAGATGAGACAATGTCATGGTGTTTGCCTTTTTCTCTTAAGGCAATTTCGAGCAGAAGCAGCCATTTATCATAGATATGGTAGATGAGACCAGCCATGCATCAGCCACTTTCTAGGTACCCACACTTTCAACTGGCAACGGGCCAAAGTTTTGCGTTAGCTCAAGTTTGATCTTTCTGCAAGATGCATTAATTTCGTCACATTCCATTACCATTTCTCTCTTTAGCCATGCTGAGTGAGTCAGCCTATGTTAGATCACGGCCTGTATGTAGAGGCGCACGTAGCAGTTTCTACTTACACATGTGATCATCTGTAAGGAACATGTCTGATGACAGTAGAGGTCATTGCTGCCAGTAATCCCAGCAGTCTACATTATGCTATTAGTTCGGTGGCGTGCTGCTTTGCGCCACCTATGTCCCTCAAGGTGTTGGATACACGATTAACAAACCGTTTAGGAATTAAAGTCATGTTCGGGGCAAATATCCAGGGATAAAACAGTGACTTGATATCTATCTGCATGCAGCAGCAGCAACGCTGCTTCAAATAAATGCTGTTGTTACATTCACTCACGACAATTATTTTTAATACAGGCTCTAATTTCTCCGCTTTATGCACAAGAGTGATTACACTATGAAGCATAACGGAGGCTATGAAATTTACAAAGCATTGAGAGTAACATTGATTTCTAGCAGCGATATTTCGCACTCAGATCCAATAATAATGTGTAAATATGACCTTAGCGACATAACATTTCGTATGGTTGGAGTTGTGCATTGATCTTCATCCCTGCCAATTTTTCCTTCATATCTATTGCTATAACAATCTATTGGATTCAAGATTGAATAACTCCCTTGTAGCTATTTTTTACTTATCGAAAACCTAAGAAAGACTTTTTCATGAGGTGGAGACTTTACAATATGTTTCAATGAGAAACACCCTTTCCGGAAAATCCAATATATCCTATTTAGGATTTCGACGTTGTTCATTAGTTTCGGACCATTTCGTCCGTGCTTCGCATTTGTTTCGTTTTAATCTGATGGTAGACGTATCGCCTGTAGGCTAGGTAACGTAAAGCCTATAGCGCCTGTTCACAGCAATTACTATAAAGTAATAAAATTCCGATCCTGATTCAATCTATCATTTCAGTCCACCAGTGTATAATTTCATTACATGTGGCAGGAATGCGCTATCGATCGTATGTTGGTAACGGCGCCCAATTAATTCTCTTGTTTTTACCGTTTCCTATGTTCGAGTCACAATTCAGCGCAGTGCAATTTATTCTAGCTTGTTCATTCACTTTTGCTGTGCGTTCCATGTATCAAATTCATGTGGCGCACCTAAAACATGTTAACAGTAAAAGCTCAATTTAAGTCTATTACTGCCAACTTCTACGCAAAAAAAGTAACAAGAAAGTCGTTTTTCAGAAACCAATTATGTTGGTAGTCGGTAGCTACAACGACCTAGTAGACCACAGCGTAACCAATACCCTTAAGCTTATGATCATATTACACTTTCTATACAATCATCCTGATAGCATCTATCCCAGAGTAGAGAGATTAATGGCACACGCTCTGTGGAAATGGTTTATGTTCAATTTGTATGAGCGCGCTGGCTTTATCAACTACAGGGTCAAGAAGTCGAAATTGAAACTGTAATTGTTAATCAGATTCACCGGTCTTAGATTGAACAAGCACGGATTTGGGTACTCGCATACGCCAGTGCTTGAAAAGCAATGCTATAGCTAGATGGCTAGCTAGATGTGTCGTTATTTTAGGAGCTTCAATGTTTTAAAGGTATCCAATGCTAATCCAATGCTATTTCAGGGCAGCAAAACTGGAAATATTCTGATTGAAGGAAATCTTTATGATACTGACACATGCTGCTTCACATTAGCAAATTTAAATCAGCATTTCATACTTTGAGCATTTAAAACTGCAGAAACAAGTCCCAAGATGAGTCTTTTTTTTTCTGAGTGGTACCCTAAAAATCAGCCCTTCCTGTAACCATTTTCCGTCAGAATTTGGGAATTTTTGCTCCATGGGGGTCAGTATACATTGGGATAGTGTGGTTTCAACTCAGTATGTAGATAAATGACAGTTACTATAATATTGGCTTTGAAAACCCGTGTTTCCAAGCCTTTTGCGTCAATTTATCTCAGCTTCTGTCTACTTTTTACAAACTTTCAAGCGGCCTAAATTAGAACGGACTATCCTGGTATCCAATCAAAGCAGCTGATTTATAACAATGCCAACTCGTCAGATTGAGGTGGTTTAACAACTTAAATTCTGAAGTGTTTTCCATTTATCTTGATATGATTGATTACTGTTATTTGTATCACACTTCGCTTTGGAACTCCTTTGTGTGCAATTAGATGCTGCTTCCCGCCTTTCAACAGCAATTAGAACATGGATTGATGATATACATTTGGCGTGATGGGAGTTGCCTTTGTTACTGATGGATAATGAAGAAAACTGTGCTTACAAAGCCGTCCCGCCAGTAGTACGTGCCGTATTTCAAACAAATGTGCTCGTTATTCGTAACAAACATGCCCAACGTCTACTACGATTCTTTATTTAGTTATCTGAAACTTCTTTAAAGTCACACAGAGCTTTAGCGCCATTTGGCTGCATTGTTACGTTATTAGTGGGGTATTTGAACTCGTACTTCTACTAAACAAATGTTCTCGTTATTTTTATTTGTAACAAACATGCCCAACGTCTACTACGATTCTTTCTTTAGTTATCTGAAATTTCCTACAAGTCACACTGAGCTTTACAAGCAGTCATTATATTTGGCTGCATTGTTACGTTATTTGTGGGGTATTTGATCTTGTACTACTACTAAACAAATGTGCTCGTTATTCGTAACAAACATGCCCAACGTCAACTACGATTCTTTCTTCAGTTATCTGAAGTTTCCTACAAGTCACACTGAGCTTTACAGTTAGTCTTTACATTTGGCTGCATTGTTACGTTATTTGTTGAGTATTTGATCTTGTTTTTCCTTACTTCTCTTTACATTTGGCTGTATTGTACGTTATTTGTTGAGTGTTTGATCTTGTACCTCCTTACTTCAATTTCCTGGAATGTAGTTAGTTATAATGAGGGGCAGCAGCTAGGCCAGTAGTTAATCTAATCCACTGCTATACACAGTCTCATTTACTGGCTGTTCCTCCCTACGTGGCATGTCTATACAATTATGCATATAGATCGGGGTGTTTTAAAGATGCATTAGTTGCCATAACCCATTCCGAAATGCAGAAGCCAAACAAAGTCCCATGTGAGTCAAATGTGTTTTCTATTTTCAGGCTGTTTGGCGCAGCACACCAGCTTTGATCTCCCCGAGTCGGAGGAAGCCACACTGGGTGAACCCGCCACCCTGCCGGCAGCCTACTCTTCAAAATACAGCATCATTTCCATAACCTGGTCCCGAGTAGTGGAGAGCCCTTCAGCATCTGACAAGCGGAGCACAGTCTTCTCCCATGTTCCTCTGGCGAACCTGAGCAGAGCATACGGGCGGTACGCTGGGAGAGCGCGGCTAGTCGGAAGGGCTTCTCTACGAATCGATCCAACAAAAATCGAGGATGCAGGAACGTATTCACTGTCAATAATGACCGGTGAACTAGGAAATGAAGAGAAATTCATTCATCTGGATATACTTGGTATGTGTGGCTAGCGTATCTCAGCTAACCATTGGGTGGATCTCATATTGATATAAGTTTAATGTAGCCTGGATGAAGAGAAAGGGTTCCTGGTATCACAGGGACTTGTTACTTCTCTAACAAAGCCCTAGTGTAGTTATGATGGGGAAATTTAATGGATTCTGGCAGAATTCATGGTAGAGACTGAAGTCTGGAAATGGAAATCCATATCCATGAAATCCATACCTTACACTTTGTTCCTCTAGACCATGAAGACCTCTATAAAAGATTTCTGAAGGAGGAGATTTTAAATCTGTAACAAGTGGCAATCAATCAACCTTACATTTAAGAAATCCTTAGAAATCGAAAGCTTTTCTAGATGCAAGTAGACTCAAGGTTATTACTAAACTACTCAAAGAAGAAGTTGACTTCAGAAGTTGATAACAGGGTTTGAGTTCGGTCCCGGATGTGGGTATTTGCAACGCTGCCAACTTCTGTGCAGAGACGTCTGCTGCTCTGATTGGTTAGGTTGGCGACAATGTTTGCTGCCTTGGGCTCAGAACACGAGCGATAGCAGTAAAAATTATTGTTGGTGTAGAATGAGGAAACATTTTGTAAAGCTGCCCTCGGGCGATAAAAGGAAAATGTAAAATATGCAAAGCCACATGTGGCCTTCAGCAAGGTGGTTCGCTCGGAAAATATGCTGAAACATAATAGAACTTCCCCTTTCATTCCCCGAACTATTTACTAAAGCCATTTCCCTGTAGTGTGTAAATCCTTCACGAATAGCTCCGGAATCTGATATGAGATGCGCCACAACTGTGCAGCACGTACCGATCAATAGCGGGTTTAGTAAAGAAATCCTGCCACACTTTTCACATCTGTGTAATGAATTTTGACTTATGACAGTTTCTGAAATATATGTTGTCCCTTTAACTAGGAGAGGTAAATCACGACCAGGGGCTACTTGTTTTGGTGTAGCAGTTGTCTCGGCCTACGTAAATCAATTCATATCAACCAAGAATAATTGCCCCTCGTATGTGTAATCAATATCGTTTGAGATATTTTTTTCGGCAATACACATCAATTTGAGAGAATCAATAGGTTATTCTGTTGCTATATATGTTGCAATTCCATACGAACTGCTCCGTGTAAAATATTCCATTTGTTTTATTATCGTGCTAAAAGATGTTGACGGATGAATTTTTGTGCTAAATCGAAACTGTTTGGAATGACAAGAAAGGACACCTTGCATAATTGAACTGTCAAAGAAATCGTATAATTGTCAATTCAACTTTGATTCATAAAAATCAATCATTAAAATATCATGCTTTAAGGTATACGCATGTTAAATATAAACCCTACATCAGATGGGTGATATTTTTGTGTATTATTTATCTACTATATTCATGTTGGCGATCTGGCTCCACATGAAATACATAATGCGAAATATTATTCCTGACTACGTCCCTAGGCCCTATAATATTCTGCAGTTATCAATGAGATCCTGGTTCTATAAAGATTCCCCATATATCTTGCGACTTTATTACTGAATATTAATGATGCCTGACATTCAATGTACATACAGTGGCTCAAAGCAAATGACTTAAGAAGGTGATGTCTATTAGCATTTAATCCGAGTGAAGTTGGTATGATATACGGGGGGATGCCGGTAGAATATCAAAATTAATTCCCTGTTTTGTACTTCCTCATTATGTGTACCTCATTATATTTCCTCATAATGTTTTTGCTCTGTTTCTTCTTCTTCTGTTCCAAACACTGACCTGGTCAATCAGCCTCTCACCATGGTAACTGGTGTCGGGTTTTATAATGTTGCAATTTTATAGTATGATGGATTTATACTCCTGTCACCACATATATCAATGTGCTTGAGTAAGAATTAACAGAGCAGACCATATGCGAAGGCAAACATTATGCACTTGCTTTGCAAATATTACCTATCTAGTTTTTTTTCTTTTTTCTTAAGTTCCCCCAACTGTAGTGGTCGGACCCAGCGACCCTTTCTTCACAACATGGGGGACGTCGGCAACTTTGACATGCGCAGTAAAGGACGCGAGGCCCAACATCACCTCTCTTCACTGGGAGAAAGATGGCGGCCGAATTGAGACCAGGGGAATATCTGGGAAATATTCGGGAGGAAATGCAAAAATTCCATCATTGACAATTCGTCACGTCAGCAGATCCGATGCGGGGACTTATACCTGTCTTGTACAGCACGTGACACGACCAGCCGCCGCCAGTCTACTGATGGAAGTATTCTGTAAGCAAACATAATCTTAACATAATGCACATGTAGTTATTTCATATCTACGTCAGCGTAATATCGTAGCAACCATATTACCGGAATTGCCGTATTACAGAAATACCAATAATTCCAAGATTATACAAAGTTACCACATAACCTGTTTGGCGTTGGTAACAATTTTTGCAAAATGTAATCGGTAATGTTGGCATAAGTGATGGCTTGTAGGTTCTAAAATTTCTGGCTATCAAGATGAATAAGGAAAAATTTCGTAGAAGAGAGTTGGGTTGAGAGCAATGTTTGCAAACAATTTTTTTTTTACTTTTTACTCAGACCCTGCCTCTATCATCAGCATATCAGACCCAAAAGAGGTTTCGTTAGAAGACCACGTCACATTCCGCTGTGTGGCTGACGGGAACCCCCCTCCGAACATCACGTGGTCAAAGTCAGGCCGGCCTCTGTGGGCACACGTCTACACAATATCCAATGACGTCCGGACCAGTTCCCTTGTGCTGTATAGTGTAAATGAAAGCAGTAGTGGGTATTATACGTGTACTGCCAGCAATGGTGTGGGCAAAAGGGCAGAGAAATCAACAAATCTCGGCGTCCTTGGTAAGTGACAACTGAAACTACTCCTTCTTTGTCGATGTCAAAAATATATTGCATTGTACCTTGTACCTTGGTCCCTTATATATATTGCATTATATATCACCTAACTTTATTAGTTTTTGAATAGCAGTGTAATCTTCAAATAACGTAGGTGCATATAAATGTTTGCAAATATTTAGGAAACAGTCGTTACCATACTATTTCGGGGGTTCAACAGCTGGGGAAAGTAACTGCACAAGTCTTGCTATCGTTTGTCTATGGCGATAACACCGGCTCCTTTTAGGCTACAAACCATGGTTACATATATGTATCTCTTGTTGAAAGCTTTTTGTTGCAGCTATCAACCAACGAAACCCAGCGAAGTTTCATTTATAGTGTGCTTAACGCCTTTGTGTCACCAGTAGAGCAGGTGAATGAGGTCATGTTCATTGACGTCATAGATAAGAAAACCTTTGAAGTAACCACAAAAAGAATGTTTCAAATGTAAATCTTGGTAAAGCACCAGAGAGGGATATTCTTGTCATCTCGTGGTAGATAAACTTTACTCAGGAGAAAATCCCTGACACTGTGTCATTGTTGCAAAAGTTCCAGAGCGCCAGATGAGTTTAACGACGTTCTCGACCATTGCAACCATCATTGGGGCTTCTGCAGGAGGTCTCTGGCTGGTCATTTGTGTCACGCTGGCAGGGTATCTCGTCAATCGCCAACGTAGAAAGCGAGAAGAGAGGAAAAAGTTTGCCTTTTACTATGATGCTAGTTTGACAAGAAGAAGCCTTTCTGCCGAACCAGACGGTAAAGAGAGTTCTACAAATCTCCCAGGTATGTAAATATGGATTTTTATTTTACCTTGAATGCGTTTCTCATCGACGTAGGTGCCATAAACTCACCATGTATACAAATAGTTTCGGAATGTACAAAGTCACGCTTTACGAAGGCAGGTAATGAAGTCAGCATTTTATATGTTGTATTTATTTGACAGGCAAGGCTAATAGACTAACAGCAGGTGATCGCGGAATAGCAACAATGAGGAGAGCACAGGGGAATGGTAAGTTATTGTTCCCAGCAGTGTTTCTCTTTACCAGCATGGTGTACGTACAATTATGCATCAAACTCAGCGTGCGTTAAGCCCCCTGTATATTAACAAGCAATTGTAAAACGTACTTGATATAAAAGGACATTCCACGTCACTTTATCATACACTAAATGTGTAAAAAAATACTGAGTTATAATAAATTATAAGTCGTTTCGTTTTAAACAACCGTGTAGATAGTGTCACATACAATGTGTGAAATCTATAAAATCCTTAATATGAAAAAATTTTCAGAGAAAGCAGACTTATTATTTTGGCATTTTACGTATCGCCATCTTGTAAACTATCGTCAGAGCATTTGTCGTTTTCATCACGTAGATAGGAAATACGCTAAAGTCATCTACGACTACAAGCCGCGGGAAGACAACGAGCTGAAAATGGAAGTCGGTGACATTGTAGAGATACTGGAGGGTGAAGAGGGGAGCTGGTGCCTGGGGTATCTGAAAGGACGGATGGGACTGTTTCCTTCAAACTATGTTTGTTTCGTACCGATGGCAGAAGGTAACGCTCGGTATTTCCGAGTAATGTAATGATTGAGCCGAAGTCTATTATCTAAACAGACATATCCTTTCCTTGCATTGGTTGTTTGACATTGGTCATACCCAGAGGGCCTAATTATATCATTTTGTGTTGTTCTCTTCAATCCAGTGTCGCCAGCCACGTCACTGTACATCCATTGCGCGACAGACGAAGACATTAAGCCTGCGAACGGGAACCTATAGTCCAAGAAGGTTGTCTCAACAGGACATCTTTCAGTGCTGGATTTCACCACATGTCGACAAGCCATCTGATCTCATGAGATTATAGCTGCTCATTATTTGCAAAAGGTCTGGATTCTTGAAAAAGGAAAGCAGCGCCTGGGACGTGGTGAAGTGAAATGACTGAATCTCGTCGTGTGTACGTCTGATATCATCGTCGTTATAATGGAAATAATGAGAACTCAATGCATGTATCACCCATCCTTCTATTACCCAGTATGGTCAGAATCTAACTAAGATGTTTTAATGTTTACATGCTTACTTTATTGAAAGAGTATAGAGAGGAATTTATTCTGAGATGAAAGATATGTATTACTACACGTGTCACGAGTTATCTGCCTTCCGACACACTATGTCTGTTTTTCTGTCTCAAGCCTTTGCTAGAAGGACAAGCTGTCACGGCAGTCTGCTGTGAAATATGAGGAGGACAGCTGCACATATAGTACATGCCGCCTTCATGTATTCATCAACATCAAGGAACGTCGCCTAAAGTTGCTTTGACAGAGAACAGATGGACACAGATATAGCATCATTGGAAATGTTAACTTACAGATGATCAGTATATCGTAGAGAAGATATTTAATGCCTGAATGACAATACGACAACGTATTTTTATGGAGTCGTGCTTCTGGAAATGTCAACTTAACAGCACAACGATGATATTTGCCAAACTAGGTGCTATTTATTGAATTGAAAAGGTTTCGATGTTTATTTGCTAGCTGTGTTCTAACGCAAATGATAAACTAGTTGATGAACGTCGTTGTTGGAAACAAAGTTTATGCAGACTGAATTTGCACAAATTATTAGTATGTCAGCTTTTCGTACATTTAATGTAAAATTTTAATCTGTCAGAAATGTTGTAATGTTTACCCTTATATTTTATAACAAATCAATGGAACTTGATGGTTGGTTAACTCCATCATTGCCATAAATATACGGTTGAATTGGGTCTTTACAATCTCCTTATGTTAGCATCAGTCAATCGTTCCCTTATCCCTCCTATAACGAAAGACTACAACTCTTGTCATTTTCTTAGACGCAAGATAGGTTTGTTTGGAGTTCTTCAAGAGATAAGTTACAATAGGATACTGTTATGTATCTGCTATTTTTCTAGTAAAAAATAGCTGCTTTTCTAGTCAAAAATATCTATGACAATATACGATTTATGTGCATACCGTAAAGATAAGCCGTTTGCCTAGCACAGAAGGCCCCACCCTTCAAACCTTCATCTTAAAATTTTCAACCAATCTTTAAGATGTTTCTGACGGTATGGACGAGATACTTCACCATAGGAGATCATTTCACGCATCATTCATTTAATTCATAAGTTGAAGAAAGACAAATGATGCGCCAAATCTTTGCATTGTAGTAAAATCCAATAAAGAACATCTCCTAGAACTAAAGCGGTCCAGGAGATTCGCTTCCTTGCATATCTAATCAATCATCAACGATGTAAAATGCATCGGATCAATTAAACGATTATACAAATACAAAGGTCAAAGTATTCCGATATTAGAGTTAAGGTCCTAAATAACCCATCCTGAGGCATATTTTGACAATATATTTTGTTTATCTGACATGGATGATTTGTAGGTCTATTTTTATGTTCTGTGATAATTTTTTCATCACTGTCACATTTTGGCACCTAAATTGAACTGTAAAGTTGACGATTTTAACCCCTGAGTGGGGTACAGGCATTAGTAAGAAGGGCCTACTCCGCCTCTTTGGGGACCCCAGGTGGTCCCATGGGGGGACAACAAGAGGCAGCTGGGCCAATCAGGCTATCTTGTTTGGATGGTGGGGCAGTAGTGGAACTACTTATAATTCAAAGCTTAACCAGGCAGAAACGTCTACAGTCCGCTGGTTTGAAGATGCAATCACGGGTATCTGGTACCAGAGAGACGTGCTCAAGCATGATTTCAATTCAGCCACAAAGGGTTCAGCGGTCCTAATGGCACCAGACATTAGCATGACTGAAGGCCGAGCCTGGGTCGTGTAGCCATGTTAAGCCGTGTCTCGCCACCGCAGATTCTCCCTAAGATAGTGAAGGCCATGTGACCTGCTCATTGTACGTTTGCAAGAGGATAAATGCTTATCTTTTACAAAAAAGAACAATTGATTGCCGCTGTCGGAAATGAACTAGGGCTTATTCTAATCTGTTTGATAGCAACACGAAGGATGTTTGATAGCAACACGAAGGACAGGTATAGCAATTAATGTCGTTTATGCAAAGCTATGGACGAGTAAGGGAATAAACCGTAATTTCTAAATCAATAACACCAAAGCTAGCTATGCTCCTCTGGCAGAGCCCTTTAATCCAACAATTCAACTTCCAGTCTGGTTTGGCGCATTGCACCATTACTTCTTGCGTCCTGACACACGTCTCTGGTCTGCGAATACTCTATGTGGGTTCCTCATTTGCCAACGTCCTCCCACGCCTTGCACCCATAGTAATAGGGCCAGAGATCATTGATTGAGATAAGGTTGGATCTGATGAAGATAAGTCACCAAGATCGGCAAAGGATCTACAAGTAAGAGCAAACTCAGCAAACTTGGAAAACTAAGTATCCCCAGTAGCAAATTCCAACTTTGCGCAATAACTGCGGTGAACCGCGATGTAATAAAACCTGACGTCTCAGCAAAACTGCCAAAGATGTTCCTAACTCCGCCCGCTGGTCACACATCACCATACATCCCAATACTTATAAAATAGTTTCCTGTCTCGACCGTGAAAGCTTCCCCCCGAGGAAAATCCCCCTCGTGATAAGAAGAGACTTTAAATCAGATATAGTATAAGTTACGGTCGATACCATGGAAGAAAAAAAGTAAATCGCTTGAGCATGTAACCTTTCTTGGTCATTTGCCTAAAATCCCCAGGCAACTTGGTGTAAAGGAATTCGTCGTGGGTGGGTGAAATTAATGACACTACGGGGTAGCTGGAGGTGTCAATTGCTCAATGTCAATGTGGTTGGGTATTCCTTACGTAGGGGTGCTCTAGGTGTTTGGATCCGTATTGGATATGATTCCCATGCACTGATAGGAAATTGACGATAATACGAACTAATTTCATTTTCTTATCTACGTATGGTATCTGGAGTACAAGAAACGCAGACCCTCATATATTCAGCTGTTTCAGATATATGACGAATATCTCTTCCCGCCAGATAACTTGCATACTATAACGCAACAACAACGCATGACATATGGCATAAGGCATTGCCGTTGCTTTTGGGAATTTCATGCTGGCCTATTTTTTTTTAATTTCATTTTATCAAGATTTGATTTTACTTTCCGTCGACACATACCTATGGGATCAGGGAAAATTGCTTTTGCTTCAGAATACTTTTTCCTAACAGAGTTTCACCACATTAGGTTCTTTTAGAATATTCTATCATAATCATTTAAATATACCTTGATGCATTTGAACGAAACCATCGTATTGTAATCACTATATAGTTACGAATGAATTAGCTCTGATTTCAATTGTCTACATAATTGCAGTCACACACAGTGCCTACAATTAAAATCATCGAAGTCTTCTGAGCTCCATATACTCTTTTTATATAATACGTAGTCTTCTTATAAAAAAAACTTGTCTCGTCAGCAAGATTCATCAGTCTTCCAGTTCCACCCCCGTCACTGCTTTATTCCCACAAGTCATGCATGGCAAATCCCCTGTCATGAGGGTCAGATGTCACGCACTGCCACTAGGTTATCCCCGGTTGTTCCCAGAAAGCATCATCCGTACCTCTCTTCTCCTACGTATGCCTGAAGGGTAAAAAGGATTAAGTTGCTCCCTGTGTTTCATTTGTGGAATTGAGCTGTAACGTTTCAACCAATCCCACATCCGTTCGAAAGCCATTAATCTAATAGGCGTAGATAAAAGGTTAAAAGGTGAACATCAGAAAGGGTAATGACTTATTCTCCAAGGTATCAAAGCCGAAGGGCTAAAGATAAACATAAATGGGTTTTGGTCGCTTTCAATTAATTGCATCACTGGGAACTAATCTGAATATGTGGAGATAACTCGGGTTTGAACAACAACTAAAAATAAGCCGTAAGTTGGGTAATTATGGGCTATGCAACAGAACTAACGTGAGAAATGACCCTTGAAATAACACCAGCTGACCTCTGGCCTGGGTACTCATTTACAACACATCGCCGTAACGCCTTTTGTGACTTGGTAAAGAAGGAGTTTACATGCTTCATGCATGGAGGTCATAGCCTCCTTGCTTCATGTGAACCTCTTTGATCTCAAGACAGCCTTAGCTGTACTCATACTTTCTGAACGTCACTGTGAGCTGTTTTGGTTAAAGGGAAGGTTATTTTGATGACTTCGGCACTGAGATGACGCAAGCTACATCAAAGCATTGTCTTCTCAAATTCCGTGGCTGAAACGGCTTTTAAACAAGAGAACTAATTATAAAGCAATTCTAGAAAATTAGTCCCCAAAGATAACTTTAATGAGAAAAATGAAACACACCACAATTAGTCTAATTAACTCTTTAATTATTCAAGTGTTTCTTTATTTCTTATTTAGCTTTCCCGTTATAAAATATGGAGGGGAAGACAAAACAGGTGATTGCTCACCTCTTCTCGTTGTCTCCCCCGCAAACATACAAATTACATACACAAATTTTCCCTTTTACATATTTTGCAACGATACATGCAGTAAATGATAAAGAGTTGAAATGACTGCGTGATCACATAATCTCTGAAAGTAGCGAAGATACGAATCCTTTATCTCCATATTCTATCACTATGCTACCTCGTCATTACTTGGGATTAAGTGTGGCACAGGCCATTAACGTTCTATTACCAAACCTAAGAAATGAAATACGCTATATTGAAGACTGAGCAAAAGCAGCCATTAAACGATTAGAAACAATCAACTCATGGTTACGTTGGGAGAAGTTACAATGAAAGTACTTTATTAATTGTTTACAATGTCATTACCCACTGCGATTATTGGGATATTAAAAATTGTCTTGAAAGTTTTGATTTTCGCATGCGGGACCAGTTACAAGATTAGAAGCCACAATTTACGATGCGTATAGGCTTTTAATTTC